GACACTGATATTTATGGCATATCCAGAGATTTCAATTTTGTCCCTATTCTAAAGTCATAAGTTTGTGCTAGCTGAGTTTTTGGTGAACTATAGAAATGAATGAATGTATGAACTCTCACTGTCTCCATAGTTGTTCAAGTGTTTTTTTCCCTTCAGCTAATATTTACAAGTGTAATATGAAAGTAAGCTGTAATCATTTAATTACATATAAAAAGTCTTTTTTATCCATGCACTTAATGTTTTTASTTTCTTTAAATTACTGATCACAAACTAGTTCATTTGTAATCTTCTAAAATTAATATCTCTGAGAGAACATATGGGCGTTCTTGAGAGGCCAAGTCCAAACAGTGAATAATACTACCCATGCATGCTAATATTGCTTATAGAAACAATAATGAAAATGTAAGACATTATTGTTATTTCAGACATTATTGTAATGCTGATTTCTTTTTTTTTTTCAGTTTTGTTTTGTTTGTTTCTTTAAGTAGAAAGACAACAATTGCTTACTTCGCTGATTTTTGAGGTTTTGACCTTAGCTAGTTCAATGACTCTAAGAGTAACACTGAAATCAATTTTTATAGATGGGAGCCTACCACAGTGATGGGATGAGAAAATAAACTGCATGTTTCTGATTTAAATAAAAACGTAAAAGAATAATGAAAAACATAGGACATGGCTATTGTGCTGAGAGATGTGTAAGCATTGCAGGGGTCCTAAAGACACTCTTTCTAGTGTGTGCTGTCTCTTAAAATGCTTCACAACACCATGTGAAGACTACACAGAATAAAGAATTTTAAAAAAATTACCAGGTACATAGCACTTAAACTGAGGCACGTGAAGTGTTGTGGGCCATTTCTTTCATCCTTTCTAGTCCACATCATTACTCTGCATTCTCAGTAAATGTCCTACTTTTCTACATCATAATTACTTGTCATTACTTATTCACATGGTCTCACTTCCCTTTTTTTTAACTCAGTACTAGTGATAATATCTACATTTTCTGTGCTCACTACATGCTTCTTTGCATAATTGGGTTCTTGTTCTTAAAAATGCTTTTACCTGTCCTCAAAATCTCACTTAGTTTTTTCTCTTTCACTAACAGTAGTTAGTAAATGATGGTTTCTAGATTTGATTCAATTAACATTTATAGAGAATATATTCAAAGCACCTATATTCATAGGTATCTGTCATAGTCTCCTCTTTTGGAAGAGGCCCCTTCCTAAAAAAAAAAAAAAAATTAATGTTACATAAAACTGAGTCCCATCCAGGAGTTTCATTTCTTTCTTATTCCTATAATACTCATCAATTTCACATCCCACCATGAGAAATAGTCTGCCAGAGATGGAAGTTCTTCACATTATTTTGAAGCTTAAGAATTCTTTCACTTGAACTTCAAATTCAACCAGTGCATAAAGTCAGTCCCACAGTTGGACTCACTGACCACACTTTATTACAACTGCATCACTGCACCTTTCCGTAGTCTCTGTATTGATGATTGTCCCGAAGGCCAAACTTAAACTTCATATAGAGATTAGTGATTTTCTAATCTGGTTTATCTTTGTTGTGGGTTTTACTTATTATTTTTTTTTAATGGGGAGAGAGTATAGTTCTGGAACTAGAAACTAACTTCCTGTCCCTAGTAAGAGTGAACCCAAAATAACTACCAATTTTGTATGTTGACTTATCCACATAACCATTTTGTTTGCTATTTGTATCTAGACCACTTCAAATGTGTCTACCTAATTAATCTTCCTGAGTTATTTTTATCTTAGTTACCCAGCTGACTTCATCTTGCAGCAATATAGTTCATAACCTACTAAAAATTCTTACTAGAGAATTTCTTCACCATTAGAATATCCATTATTTGCAAGCCTTCTTCCAGTTAGATCCTCCTGTGTTTATTGTCTCAGTTACTAGTTTTATGCTAATAAGTATGGTTTACAGCAATTGGATATTCTTTCTGACTAGAATACTTATTCTGGTGAATATATATTTTCTGCTGAAAATGTTCTAATTGACCCCTACTACTAACTGGATTTTTGTTGGGGATACACATATCCACATCTCTTTCTTTGGGGGCCACTTCTTAATTGACAGTGAATACATAGTCATCATGGAATAGGATGCCATAACTGGTCCTTAGTATCATTTCTGTTTTTTTATAACTTGCTCCAGATTCTTCCTCTTAACTTCAAATCCACTTGTAACTTTCTTTCAGTTTGTATCTCTTCCAATTTTAACCTAAACATCCAGTTCCACTTTTAACTCCTCCTGTGCTCTAGTTATCCATCCCTCAAGTTTTAAAGGTCTTTTCAGATATTTCTTATTTCCTTCCTCTGTATTTTTTACATAAGGTATTGACTTTTTCCCCTATGTTGGACCAACATATGTTCCCTTCCATGTGAAAACTGTCAGTCATCCAAGTTGCAATTAACCTTCATGACCTTTCTCATGATTGTATGTTGCCATCATTTTAATGTGGTGTTATTCATGCAGCAATGTAACCAACATAAAAATCCGCTTTCTAATTAGATTCCTTGACTTCCTATACAAATTCTATCACTCACTGAATGAAACATCTTGGGCTTCATTTTTTAAAAAGTATTAAATGAAATAATGATAACTAGTTCAAAGAGAACCAAAGGAGACATTTATAAAAATAGATTATAAAGCATGCAAATTTGAGAAAACCTTATATTTGAATTGTAGTATAGAGTACTTACAAAAGTGTCAATGTCATATATTTCTATTTTTACTTTTAAGTGCTAACACTGTACTTTGCCTACATAMAGAGATATCAAATGAGTCCATTTAATTATGAATTTCCTTCCAGATATAAAAATAATAAACTTATAGAGACATTCACTTGTAAATATTTGCCATATGTATATACAGCTTAAGTGTTAATTCTGACATTTATAGTTATTTATAGAAAGAGAAATTTGACTTTCTTGAGCATTTGATTAAAGTTATGCAATACCATGTTTATTACATATGTCTTAAATTTTTAAATATGGGTGCTATTTTATCATAAAGATAAAGTATCATCAGATAATGCTTATATTTTCATTATCTCTAGCAAAACATTGGCTTTTACTTGTTTTAGTTAATACTCATTAACACATTGAAATACTTTTAATGGAACTATGTAATTTTTGAAGGTAGATAGATAAATCTCCCCATGGCCATTGCTTTTGTTCTTATCGTCAAAATTAGTGTCTTTCTTATTTCTTTCTTTGAGGAGAAATCATTAGTTTTCTCTGTCCAAACTAATTGGGCAAAACACATTAGTAAAGGTGAGATTCTATGGAGTTGAAATCACAATGGCCTTTTTCAAAATAGTGAAAGTACTGTTTAGGAAATGCAGTTTTGTTGTCTCATCAATTTCTGTCATCCCTTTGTCAAAGGGCATTTATGAAGTGTTTGTTTATATTTTTCTTACAATGGAATGATAATATTTCTAAGGACTATGAATGTTCCTATTCCATAGGGGCTTTTTAGAAGTTTGTTAAAAATTTATCTAGGAGATATTGAGGGAATTGCACATTTTTCTCCTACTTTCTACTTCAAGATATTTTGTCCTAAAAATTAATATTGAGAATATATGTTGAATAATTCTTCACATCAAACTCACATTAGGTTGATATGCTTACACATATTAATTATAATTCTATTACTTTTAACTGAAGGTTTTCTCAGAATTCAAATAGTTGTACAGCCAACAGGTGATAAATGTTCCATTAATCTTTCTGACTCTCTAGCTTCTGAGCATGAGAATTGCTGATCAATTACACTGATTGTCTCTTAAATGAGCTTTTCACATCTGTCTCTTATTTCATTTGTTAACTGTCTGCCCAAAGATCTGATAAGATGGAATACCAGTGCTTTTTTACAGCTTGTTCTGTCTGTACAATAAGGATAGAGTTGTTAGTAAAATGGGCACAAAAGATTATTTATCCACTACCTACAATAAATATTTGTGCTAGTGTCTACAAAAATTTATATATGTATATATACATATATATAAACAGTTTTTCTTCAACTTTACATTTAATAACTAATATAAGACCAAGACATTTCTTACTTTAGGATGCTTTTATTGATTACGTTTGTCCTCAAAACCAAGAAAAAACCAACTCATTTATTAAGTTCTTTTAGTTTAAAATAAACACTGAAACTCTTAGAAATATATTTTAAACTAGCAAAGATGATTAATTTACTCTTAGCCAGAGATTGGAATTAATTCTTGGTTACATTCTCTTATATGTTGGCATTTGTAAAAACTAGTTATTATGATCTATTTTATTATATACAGTGTTATATGGCCATCACCCCTTTAGTTAGAAAAAGTCTAGGTAATGTGTTTGTAGAAAGAAAGTTTTCTTACCTGTAAAATGGAAAGAATACTATGTTGCAGAGCTTGATGAGAATCAAATGAGAATTGTACATACAATAGTTAACACAATGCCCAGCAGATAGTGAGTAATCCTGGAATACTGCTCATATTACATACACATTACATTTAAGTTTTACTTTTTCCCCTGGTATCTGCTCTGAGAGTTTGGAAGCATTTTATAAGCAAAGAGGAATCACCTCTTTGTAAATTAGTCTTTCAGAAGAAAGTTTAGGCAGATCCTATGCGAGTTTTGTTCTTTGTTCCAGGAGACCATCACATAGCAAATGTATTTGGAGTAAAAGCCTCTATTACCAGCTTATCAGTTTCAATAATCAGCTCTCACCTTGTTTAAATATTTAAAAATATCGCCACCAAATGATAACTGAAACATGAGGCCATTTTTAGTAGTTTTCCCATCATCTTGAATGTCTGGAAGTGTTAAAAATTAATGTTAAAGTGTATGCTAGTGAATGTGTATCCATTTTCTTTATTTAGGAGTTATATTTTAAAGTAAGGTTTTTATTGGTYAAAACTATATAATGCATCCACTTCGAATGACGATTTCTACTGTTGTAATTTTATTTTGTTTTAATCTTTGTTGTAGGCCTTGTTTGCATGAAGTCCAGCACATCCGTGGTTGAGCTTGTTATGCTGCTTTGCTCTCAGGTACAAAATCTCATTCACTTGATTACATTAAACTATATGAGGATTTTTTAATGTGTGTGTGATAAAATGTGTGTGTATGTATACATGTATAATATTTAAAACTGCCATCTCTTAATGCAGAAATGATGAAAATCATTTGTCGGACTATATTAGTATGTAGATGATCTAACCATGTAACTATTGTCTTCTCCATTTCACTCTTATGCTCACTTTAGCTGTTGTAATCTCTCCTGTCCTTCATGTTCTTCCATTGTTCCCTGTTGTTTCATCTGTGTATATGGGGTGTGTGCGTGTGTGTTTATGTGTGTATTTGTTATGGTTTTTTGATATTGTACCTTATTATTTTAAAAATAATACAGTATTATTTATAATGTTTAAACTTAATAATTACATTGGTTCTTCTTATTAGATTAGAGGTAATAAAAACTAAGTCTTTTTTTTCCCAACTCAGGAGCCAAACAGTATATATAATACACTTTTATATGCTACTTTCGGTTTTTTAAAAGGTGTTATTTGTATATGTCAGTAAATTCTAAAAATTTACTTAATGTTATTTATCTTTAATATCAGAATCAAATACAGAATTAAATTGTTGATATTATTTATTCTTAACAATTCTAGGAACCTAAGAGAAAGTATATATTACTGTTTTTTCTGGTAACTATAATAGAAACTTAATGGTCTTTCCTCTCATCAGCTCTGTCAAGTCTCCTGGTATTCCTGATTATAGATATTAAATATTTTGTAATATCAGAACAAAACAGGAGCTTATACATGTTTACAATAGGTAGTTATTACATTTATCCCTGGTTTTCACAATAGAAAGAATAACACATCTAAACTGTTTCTCGAAACTGCCCTGAGGTCTGCCTAAAACCACAGTTTACTCAAATAAACAACAGTATGACTTTAACTGATCCTTTAAAACATCCACAAACAAACAAACAAAATACTTACCTATTGATTTCCAGTACAAATCAGGTTTTCAGGTTTACTTTTGTGAATGATAATCACCAGGTCCAGTTCTGTTTTAGCCATGAAGAATATTGATATGGAAGAAGTTACAGACARCATCATCCCTGGCAGGAGTTCATCTGCAGGGCATTTGAAAATTTTGTCATGTAATTCTGAAGTCCTGAGTTCGAAAGATATCCCATGAGATCTGTCTGGACCTTTGGGGTTCATGAGAATCGTTTTTTAATGGCTTTTATAGAAAAAAAWTTGTTTAGAAGTCCTTCCTTACCACTGAGTTTTGCTGCAGTTCAGAGAAATAAAGAGGAATGTAGCATTAGGGTCTAGTGTCTTTGATGGCCTCATCATCTAATCATAGGTTTAACATTACTCATTTGCTGGCTCCAGGAATTCCTGCCATTAAGGGCCCTAGAGATGAAACTTTGCCTCAAATATTGATTGAAAGGAAGAGTGAGAAATTTAAGCTGTCTTTGCAGTGCACTTTCTTTCAATGTTTCAGCAAGCAAAATTATAAACATGTCTCTCAGTTGGATTTTTAAATTGAATTTTTGAAATAATGCAAGAGTATTTTAAACAGTCTGAAAAACTTTAATGTATTGAGCATTTCATTGATTAAATATACCTTATTTATGTGTCTTTAAAAGGTATGATCATAAAACATAAGTCCAGTTATTTTGTTATTTTCTGTTAGACTAATAATACTGCCTTCCAGAAAAGATTTTTTAAAAAGCATGTGAGAAATCCTCCTTTAGTTCAATTCAGATGAAGGAAGTTTATTAGTCTACTGTGAAATTAAGCTTGTAAAACCATTATTGTAGAGCACTAGTTACAACACATATGTTTAAAACCTTGGTTTTGTGGACATATAGAGAAGAATGGCTATGTCTTCAAAATTTCTTAAAATATTCTGCTCTTTTTATCTATTACTGAAATTCATGATGATTTGTATTCTAATTTCATACTAGCAGGGCTACCATACTGCAGTAGTGGACCTCTGATAAGGAGAAATAAATGCAGTTAATGATACTGTGAAGATTGCTTGGCATAGTTCTCCCTAAGCAGCATTCTATTCTACAGCCCTTAATGCATCTCTTCTACGATGGAGCTGATCCCTGTAGAATTAGCCATTTCGTAGGCTGTCTTGGTGCCAAACAGAAGGCATTTCTGATGAATCTTTAAAGCTGCAGCTCCTTGAGCTATTTTGGCTTTCTTTTATAATCATCCCCTTGAAATTATTGATAGCTCCATATGATGATGAGCAGTACTGGTACTAATAACAATGGTTAAAATATGCATCAGTAAATATCTAGATGTATGTTCTATATATTGATCTATATATTGATGATTTTTCCCCAATGGTTAGAAATACAACAGTATTATCTCCACTGTGATTTAATTACTCATTAAAACAACTTTTCAGTGCATATGGAATTTTCCACTTTATCTGCTTAAAATATGCCCTTATTCTCAAATTTAGATAAGCCATCAAAAAATCAAATTTTGTTGGAGAGAAGTAAGCATCTAAGGATTGAGAAGAAAAAAGGGAATGCAACATTTTTTGCATCATTTTGTTTTTCTTTACTATAGCACATTAGATAGTTTTATTTTTATGCTTTTCATTTTCATTTTGGAAATTTCATGTTAACTACTATGTATTATTAGGTATATTAGATTTTCTTTCCTTCTTATCTGAGCTTTTGAACAAAATTACTTTTGGCCAATAGTTTGTGTCCAAAATATGGTATAAATTTACATAATATTGTATTACAAGTGTCTGAAGGTACTTGTCAAGGATAATTTAATTCATATGGGCAGCCTTTTAAACTGCAACGGACATGGCATCCAGTCTACCTCCCAGTGGAATTTTACATTTCTGTAGAGAACAAATCTTGAGTTAAAAGAACATATTAGCATTATTATGATGCATTTATTATCCCACAGGATACCCCAAACAATTTTGACTAGATTCCAGACAAATTCTTGCCTATAGGTTCTATAACAGAAAAATAAATTTTGAGAATTTTCTTTCTTATTTTTAATTATTATGAAAATTACAATTAGCATCTTTATTAAAAAATCAGTTTTTTGCCATTTTGAAATGAAATGAACTATGGTGAAATAATTGATCTGTATTACATTTGACAAAGGTATTAGTGTTTCCTACAAGTTCCTCTGCAGTCACAGGTATGATACCATTTTTTGTCATATTTTTGTTTCATATTCAACACTGGGCTGTGATTGCAGTGCTTTCTATTACTTGAGATATGTACTTCTTTTCCTATACATTATTCTTAGCATACTGTGTTCTTTGATGAATAGCAGATTTAGTTTTCAAGTAAATTTTTTTAGGTACTGTAATAGTTTCTAATTATTTCCAGATATTTTTAAAGGAAGTTTCCATGAGAAGTACTGCAGGAAAAATTGAGTGATGTTATCCCATAGGATTTCTTCAAGTTTTCATAGTAAAGCTTAGCAGATGTCACTTTCATTTTTCTGTGCATTATCTGTCAATAGAAAAAATGCTTTTATAAATTGAGAAACTTTATGCAAAAAATTATATCTCTCAATATTTAAGTGCTTTCTAACATGAAGCACTGATTAAGTAAATGCATGCCTAATAAATCATTTTTGTTCTGATTAAGACCTAAAAATGTATAAGAAAAATAAAGTCTCTTAGTTTAAGATCTATGTATGAAGTTACTAGCATGWATTATTTTGTGGTTTTGTTTGACTTTATTCTTTCCTAAATATTTCATATACTTAAGTAAAATGGATTTTAGTGACATCACTGATGTGATCAAGACCTTACCCAGGACTTTTAAAGACAGCACTTACAAAAGAACCACAACTGAAGAAAGATCTTTCCTTTTCAAGTGACCTGGCCTTTGAACATTTAATTTTTTCATTTTTTTCTCAAATCTGATACAGTTTAGTCAGATGGTACAAAAGAAAAGAATACACTGTTGTATCTCCTAGATGTAATAAAGCTATGATTTAGTTACTAGGATATAGATAAAATGAATGTAGAGGGCCTATTAAATAATATTCATTTAAAAATATTTAGTGTTAGAAGGAATATTTGGTGTATATAATAACGTTATAAATATAATAAAACATGAGATGGATATGATTTTTTCAGGGTCTTTGTAAATATCATGAAATTCTAATCATCATAATGAAATTATGTCATATTCAGCAATTGTATGACTCCCTTTTTGAGCACTGTGGTAGTTTAAAAAAAACACTTCACATTTTTCTGTATCTCAAGGAGTCTAGCCTTTTGTATAAAACTTGCAAATTGTGCAGCTAAATTTCAAATTAGCAAAGAATAATAAGAAAGCATGGCACAGTTTTTTAATTGCATGTAATCAAGTACTATCCACATATGGTTAAAAAAATCGATCCTATAAACCAAACAATGTCTTTGGGCTAGGGATGTGGTAGTTCAGTTGTAGGATGCTTACCTAGTGTGCATAAAGCTCTGGGTTTGATTCCTGGCGCTGGGGAGGAAATAAAAAAGATTGTCAGGGAAGACTGTATTGGGATAGATGAAAGGTGGACCTTGAAATTGGAGGTCTTTCTAAACAACATAAGCAGGGAAGAGGAGGGAGTTAGGCTGTGGAAGTGATTTGAGCATAGGTCTGGGGAGCAAAGAACCTATTGCATACTCAGGGCTGTGACTGGTCTTATTTGCAGCATATCAGAAGTTAAATAGCCAGGTAATATATTTGTTTGCTTATTCAGGATAGTACAATATGTTTATTTGTTCTAATTAGTTATATATGACAGCAGAATGCATTTTGACTCATTGTATACAAATGGAGCACAACTTTTCATTTCAATATTACACATTTTATAGGCAATACATAATACAATTTCTTTAGAGTATTTTAATATAAAACATTATTTTATTCACATAGAGTGAGGCTGGAAAGAATTTTCTAACTTTTTAACAGAATTGTCTAGTTACTGGTTATTGCCTTTTTAAGTTCCACCTGTTTTAGGAATAAAGCTACTGTCTCATTTAT